AGCCTTAGAAAGAACCCAACCAAAAACTCTTGCTTTTGAGTTGACTTCATCTCAAAGTGACCCTACAGGACAGGATAGAACTGCCCCAAAGCGTTTCCAAGGCTGTAATCTTTATGGAAGCCAACTGCCACATCTTGTCTCCTATGGAGTGGCTGGTGGGTTGGAACTGCCAACCTTTGGCACCACCAGGGCTCCTTTAGAAAGAACAAAACCCTGTTTTTGAGAGTCTACCTCATAGCATCTATTTTTAAATGAACCAGCTCATGTTCTTTTTGCCCCTTTGGGGGACATTTTTTAAAGTTATACTGCCTCAAAACCTGCCCCACAGGGGGTAAAAAACATGCATTCAATGTGGTCTATTGAAGCAAGTCCATTCAAGTTACAGAGTGGGGCCTGTAGTGGTTGTGAAAGAGACCTTTGTGAAATCAGGGAGTGGGTGCTTCTACTGAAATGCCTCTCTTTAAAGGTCACCACTGTCTTCACTCTGTCCTCTGTAGTATTTGATAATCATTTATTTAACAAGCATCTGTGTACCTAATATATATCAGACACTGATAGACCTTGGGGATATAAAGTTGAACAAGACAAAATGATTGCCTTCAAGTAGTTACCTAAAGAAGAGGCCAGCAGTTATAAAACAAGGTGACAAGAGATGTGAGTTGAGAGAAGAACGTACTTTTTTTAAAACCATGTCCTGCTTGAAACTGACTTGATAACTTTGGTTCAAATTTCTCTTGGAGCATTCCCATCAGTGGCTCTTCTGCTTTATTCCGTAATTCTAGGCGTTGCCTAAGGTTCAGTTTTCAGCCTTCTCTTTACTTTCTTTTGGTATCATCTTGGTATGTTACGGTGCTAAGAAGTTCAAGAAATACTTGTTGAATGCTTAATATGTGGGAAGAGTGGGCCAGGCACAGATAATACCCTAAATTTGTCTTCTGACTTCAAAATCCCTCTTGGGCAACACCATAAGATAAATGACTCCCCATCTTCAGAGGTAAGTTCAAGCAGGAACACAGTAGAATTCATGCATTAAATGCAAGTTTTGAATCAAAACTTAGGTCTAAGATCTTCAGCTGCCTACAGGGCACATTTATTTGGAATTGCCACAATTCCCTCAAAAAAAAAAAAAAAAAAAAAAATAGATCTCTTCACCTCTAGCCCCACCTCAAGTTCTCTAGTTCTATTAATAGCCCTACTGTTTTTATAGTCTTCCAGGCTCAAGGCCATAATAATCTTGAACTTCCTACCTTAATCAGTCTCAAGAGCCTGTCCAGCTCTCCTTTACAGTCATTACCACTATATTCAACCAGGCTTTCATCACCTGGTATCTGGATTGTTCTGTTAGTCTCCTAGTTTGAATCCCGGCCTCCACGTCTGCTCTCCAAGAGGATCCACACTACAGGTCTCAATACAATCATCTTATTGCATCCCTACACTTAAGTTTCAGTAACTCCAAACTATCTGCAGAGTTAAATTGGTATTGCACAGCCTGCAGCCAGTCCACTCTCCCAAGCACAGCCTCGTTTGTTCACAGTATGGGGTATGCCAGGATGCTTATTAGCTTGTTGGGCCCTTTTCTCCTTGATGGAACACCACCTGTTTTTTCGCAGCTCCAAGAAGTCACACCCATCTCACGTTCCTGAACGCGTTCTAGAAATCCCTTGGTTCACAGTAATCTCGCCCTCCACACACCTATAGCTCTTAATTCAGTTAAGCCAACAGCTTTTGGGCATCAGTGTGTCACTCACTGCCACTTATTTGTGGCCTCGTTTGATTTTTACCTTTTCAACTAAATGGATTCCACTGAGAGCTCCTGGGACTTGGGCCGGGTCTTCTCCCGCTTCAATAAGTAGATAATTAGTGCGCTCCCTTCTAAGAGGCTGCCTCAGCCCGCCCCTACCTCCCGCCCCCAAAAGCCTGGCTCAAATCGAATAGACCAGAACTTAACTGGTTGCAGAATCTGACCCACTCCGCCAGAACTGTGCAATCACAGGGCAGTTGAGGCAGGCTCGATGAAAAGCCATCATGCTATGAGGACACGTTCTCTATGGCTTGATGAAAAGCCATAATGCTATGTGGACACGTTGTCTATGGCTCAGCCCGAGTCCTCCGCTAACCTTTCTCCGCGGCGCGCGTGGGCAGCAGTGGCCAGCGGGCTAGGACCAGTTTTGGCCCTCCGCAGCCGCCGTCCACAGCGCTCCGTTTGAGGCCGAAAGCCCTTAGAGAGGGCCGGCCCTGGCTTGCCGCACCTGACCCCTGACTTGGGCTGCCTCTGCGCAGGTTGCTTGTCCCGGCTTGTCTGGGGGCCCTGAGTCGCCGAGGCAGACGCCCGGGCCTGGGTGGAGAAGGTGCTGGAGAACTAGAGCGCCGCTCCTCCCTCTAGAGAGTGCTGGGGGTCGCTCGCCCTCTGTCGAGACCCCTGCCTGACGTGTCCTCGACCGCCGGTTCAGTCCGCCCTCGGAGCTCCGGCCTGTACGCCGTTCAGGGGCCCCTGCTACGTCTGCCTTCGCATTGGATCCGGCTTCACTCCACCTGCCGCGCCGGGGTCTCCCAGCCCGGCGAGGGTTCTCTTCAGCGCTGCGCGACTGCGGCCCCTCCTCCGGTCCCCCAGCCCTGACCTGGGCCTGGAGCCCGCCCTGAGTCTCTGCGTCCTGGCTTAGCCGGAAGGCCTGTCATTACTGACCCTGGCGTGCCGCGCTCTAGGGAAGGCCGAGAGAGGCTGTACTGACCACCCTCGCTAAGGACTGGACTGCCAAGGGTAGCTGGCGCCTTACTTGCCTGCAAGAGTCTGTTCAGCTCTTGGTGGAATGGTTATAGCTCTCCCCCAGCCGGCGGCCCAGCCATTGCCACTCGTTGGTTTTCTTAGCTCAGCGGGGGCCCTTGTAGGCAGGAATACCTCTGGACAAAGTGAATTAAGGACCCATCTTCATAATTCCCAGGTTGTCAGGGATTTAAACACTTCATGGAGTTTAGGCTAGTGTAATGATTAAAAGTATGGGCTCTAGGGGCTGATTGGAGTTCACATCACAACCTAGTCAATTTCCTTCACTAAAACCCGGATAATAGTACTTACTTCACGGAGTTATTGTCAGAATTAAATGAAATAATGCAGGTCAAATGCACAGTGCGAATCACAGCTCCTACTTTTGTTATTAGGAGTTCTTTCCCCAGGAAAGAGCCCTGGTGGCGCAGTGGTTAAAGTGCTCGGCTGCTAACTGACAGGTAGGCAGTTTGACTTGACGGCAATGGGTTTGGTTTTGGTTTTTTCCCCAGAAACGGGAAAATGGTTGTGACCAGCATATGACACTGGTGGCTGTAGAGTATGGTGTGCAACTCGTCATAGGATACCTGATGTATCCACACATCTTTCCAGGCCCCATGGAAAGCTTGGCTTAATTGGCAACCTTAAACTTTCTTCACACTGGAGAGCACGTTAGAGATTAAGTAATGCTATGTCCTGTTTGTGTGGGTGAGACTTAGTTGTGGTTTGCTCAGGCAAGTCACAGTGGGTCCCAGGTTTCCTTCCACAAATTCAGTGTTACTTTTTTTTTTTAAACCTTTCTGCTGCTTTGCTAGCTTGTTGGAATGGAACCTTGAATTACATTGGATTGTATTGGAAATGGATGTCTGCATTCATTCAACAAATATTTATTGGGCACTTACTATGTGCCAGGCATTGTCCTTGTCAGTGAGTTAAGTGCTACAGCTGCTAATCAAAAGGTCATCAGTTCAAATCCACTAGCCCCTCCTTAGAAACCCTATGGGGCAGTTCTAGTCTGTCCTATAGGGTTGCTGAGTCAGAATCGACTCGATGGCAATGGTTTTGGTTTGGTTTTGGTCTTTAATCTTTATAGGAGCAGACTGGGTAGGTTTGAACTGCCAGCCTTTCTATTAGCAGCCAGATACTTAACCATTGCACCACCAAGGCTCCTTAGGTATAGGTATAGGGAGCAGCATTTGCAAAGGTGCTAAGGTGGGAAAAAAACAGGAAATGAAAAAGCCTGGTGTGACTGGAGCAAAATGAATAAGGGGGAAAGTAGTGAGAGATGAGGTTAGAGTGGTAGGCTAGATTGGGCAGGGCCATGGTTAGGAGTTTGAACTTTATTCTGAGTGTGATAGAAGTCATTGAAAGATTTTAAGCATGGGCATGCCAAAATCCTGTTTCAGAGTTTAAAAGTTTACTCCTGCTGTTATGTAGAGAATGAATGAGGATGGCAGAGTAGCTAGGAGACAACCATTTGGGAGATTTGTAATAATCCAAGTGACAGATGATGGCATCTTCAGGTAGGGTGGTGGCAGTGGAGATGGACAAAAGTAGACAGATTAAAATATATTTTGGAGGTAAATAAGGACTTAATCATGGATTGAAAAGCAGTGAGGGAGAGAGAGGAATCAAGGGTCACTTTTAGGTTTCTGGATGAGAAATTGGGTAGATAGTGGTACCATTTATTGAGATGAAGAAAACTGGAGGAAAAAGAGGTTTGTGGGGGAGGAGGTGGTGGAATAGAGAAATCCATTTTATGCAGACTAATTTTTAGGTATCTTTGCTATATACAGGTGGAAATACTTGATTAGCAAGTTGTATATAAGAGCTTGGAGCTCCAGGAGAGATTTGTGTTGGTGATATAAATTTTTGAGTCATCACCATATGGTTAATACTCAAAGCCAAGGGAATGGATGAGAGCACTGATAAATTATTTGATTTAATGGTTGTCATCACCACTGGGCCTGTTGCAACCAGTGTGGTTGAATACCCTTTTGAGCTTAAAGAATTATATTTTAGAGATTGGGTAAATGAGCTCTCTTTACAGATCTGCAAATGGTCGTATATTTGTCACCCTGTGTTGCCCTGAAATGCCCCATCCTGTGGTAGAAAGAAAGAAACAAGATCCTGATCCTGTGTCCACAGATGCTCCCCAAATCTAGCCATTAAGCTTGCTGGTTTCTATTTTCAGTGGGCCAAGGGCCTTGTCAGTTTTTTGTCACATACAGGACAGATCATGAAACTGAAGGAACTTGAACGACCAGCTGTCCAAGTGTGGAGCCCAGCTAGCCAGTTCCCTATGTATCTGGCCACAGGTAAGGTGATACTGTGGGGTAGGAGCCACTGGAAGTACATAGGTGAGGTAAAACTTAGAATCCAGAATTCTCTGTTGAGCATCTGAGAAAGCTCTAGGTTCAGAAAGGCAGAAGATGGCTTGTAGCATAAGCAAGGGAATATTGGATGTTTTTGGTACTTTAGGGCAGCCTTGGAATATGGCTCAAGGCTAGGCACCTCATGCTTTCTTCAGAGTTACCATTTGAGAAAGAGTACACCCAGTCTTATAGGAGCCCTGGTGGCACAGTGGTTAATCACTCAGCTGCTAACTGAAAGGTTGGCGGTTCGAACCCTCCAGCCACTCCCAGGAAGACAGATGTGGCGGTCTGCTTCCAAAAAGATTTACAGCCTTGAAATCCTTATGGGGCAGTTCTACTCTGTTCTTCAGGGTCTCTATGAGTCAGAATCTGTTCGACAGCAGTGGGTTTGGTTTTGGTTTTATACCCAGTCTTCTGTTGTTCATCCTTCTCTCCACTCCCTAACCCATTTATACTCCAAATTAATGCACATACTGTTGCTCATATGCTGCCTCTTCTTGACTTTTCTTGTGCCTAGGAACATCTGCCCAGCAGCTAGATGCCTCCTTTAACACAAAGGGCACATTGGAAATCTTTGAGGTTGATTTCAGGGACCCATCTCTGGACCTGAAATGCAAGGGAGTCATTTCCACCTTAAGCAGGTACTATGTCTAAACTGTTGATGGGTATGCAGGGCAGATCCTGATGTGGATCCTGGGAGGGGTATGGTTCCTCAGGGCTCACAGGGAGAGAAGCGAGGGGAGAAGGAACTTTGCCAAGTTGTAGAGAAGTTAAGTCTGGGTTTACTTTGCAAAATGATTTTAAAAAGATCCACCTCCACCTTTCTGGTCAGAAGCAACAGCAGCTGCAGTGTCAGGCAGAATGCATGTGATAGAAACGCCTCATACAAGCCTGGACCTATTGATTGCTCCTTGAACCCAGGGATGTTGGCTCCTTCTTCCCTTGGCTGTTGTGAAGATAACAGTCTTACACAATATTTCCTTTTCCTGCCAGTGAGGAGAACAAATGACCCTCTCCTCATTGCTGTCCCGCACTGATTGGCTACTCGTGAATTTCCTGGCTCTGCCGGACCTTCAGGGCTCAGTACTGTTGTGCATTGAGCACATATGTGCATGGCAGGCACTGTGCTAGGGGGTGCTATCTTATCTTACTCATTCTTCAAAATAAGCTTAAGAGATAAGTACCACTATTCCCATTTTACATAGGTGAAACTCTGTAAAATACATTTTACTGAAACTCTTGAGAAGCTGGGATTTAAATCTAGGCCTGTCTGACTCCAGAGCTTACCTTCTTTCCATTATTCAACTGTTCTTTTATAAGTTTCATAAAGGTGGAGCTTACAGTCTGGAGCAGTGGTCTCCCAAGTTTTTATATCATCAGGAAAAATGTGAAATTCACTGTATTCAAGTTATATATTCAGTATAAATAATATACATGTATTACTGTGCGGTTCTATTAATAAAGTACAATTTCTACCTTTTTTTTAAATTAAAAATATAAATGTTTTTCTTACAGCTTGATGAATTATCTTGTCCACCCACTTTAGAGATTACTGGTCTAGATTGCAACTTTCCATCTAATGATTAATGAACCCCTTGTACACTTCGTGGTCCGTCTGAGGTATCAGTTAAGATATTTAGACAAAAGTACCCTCTTCTTTCTTTTTCACAATTTAACCTGATAATGAAAGGTTAATTATTGTTCTCCCTTTCTTGAGCCCCTAATTTTGAATAATTTTAAAAACAACCACCCCCACCTTTCTGGTCAGCATATATCACTTTATGACAGTATCTCATGTTTTGCAGTTTCTTACATCTCTTTGTATTTCCAATACCTGTGCCCTCTAAAGAGCAGGCCTTCAAGGATTTACCAATAATAATGATATGTTCTTAGTCCCTAAGCTTGCATTCCAGAAGGGTCTCTGAAAGGGATGGGCTAATTCAAAAATGATTATACTCCTTGAAAAATAAAAGGGGGCAGTGGGCAAAGGCTCTTATCCTCAACAAGCCAAGCAACAGCTTCAGCACAGTAGTGGCACCATAAGACTAAGAATTCTTAAAGAGGCAATGTAAGTGCTAAAGAAACCTTGAAACTGAGTTCTAAGATTTATGTGGGCGGATTTTTTTTTTTAAATTGTGCTTTACAGAGCAAATTAGTTTCTCATGAAGCGATTAAAACACATATTGTTTTATAACATTGGTTGCCCACCCTGCAATGTGTCAACACTCTTCCCTTCTTGACCTTGGGTTCCCCATTTCCATTCGTCCAGCTTTCCAGTTCCCTCCTGCCTTCTTGTCTTTGCCCTGGGCTGATATGCCCATTTAGTCTCCCACACATGGTTGATCAGCATGTGTTATTGTTTGTTTTATGGGCCTGTCTAATCTTTGGCTGAAGGGTGAACCTCAGGAGTGACTACAGTACTGAGTTAAAGGAGTGTCTTGGGGCCATCCTCTCGGGGTTTCTCCATCTGTGTCAGACCCGTAAGTCTGGTCTTTTTTGTGAGGTAGAATTTTGTTCTACATTTTTTTCCAGCTCTGTCCGGGACACTCTATCGTGATCCCTGTCAGAGCAGTCAGTGGTGGTAGCTGGGCACCATCTGGTTGTGCTAGACTCAGGCTGGTGGAGGCTGTGGTAGTTGTGGTCCGTTAGTACTTTGGACTAGTCTTTCCCTTGTATCTTTGCTTTTCTTCCTTTTTTTGTTTGCTCCAGATAGCGTGGGACCAGTGGAGTATCTTAGCTGGCTGCTCACAAGCTTTGAAGACCCTAGATGCTATTCACCAAAGTAGGATGTAGAACGTTTTCTTTATAAACTGTATTATATGAGCAGAGATTTTTGTCTTTTATTTATTGCTGTATCTCCAGCACCTAGAACGGTGCCAGGCATATGGTGGGTGCTTAACAAACATTTGTTGAATGAACAAGTGACGTTAGAAACTTCTGGGTTCCCAAACTGAGTAAGCATTCATATTCAACATTTCAATTAGTTACAACCAAGTTAGTCTTAATGCCTTAAGAGCCTTTCAAGGGTGACAGTCTGTTTGTTTTGTAGTCAACAAGGTTAAAGGGACCCTTTTTGAAATGTTGGTACTGAATTTGGAAGTCATGAACTTCACCTCATACCCTTGTTCTAACCTGCAGGGAGTTGGGGGTGGAGACAAAATAAATGATACAGTTAGCACTATTGATAATATTATCTCTACTTTCTTTTTCCACCACTCAGTGTTCAAAGATTGATTCTCATTCCCAAAGATCTAAGAAATTACTTTTGACATAGCTCCAGTGGGGCTTTTCTGAAGAAATCATAGACACTCCAGGGTCTAAGATAACCATTTCTTTCTCTTCCAGCCTGAGTTAGATCATTTACTCAAAAGTTTAATTCCAACTCATAGCGACCCTATAGGATAGAGTAGAACTGCCCCATAGAGTATCCAAGGAGCACCTGGTGGATTTGAACTGCTGACCTTTTGGTTAGCCCATGGCTCTTAACCACTACGCCACCAGGGTTTCCTATCACAAACTATTGACTGAAGTTAGCAGGGTCATTAAAGAGTTACCCATCCTTTGCTTTATGCTTCTCTCTCGCTCTTCTTTTTCTGTGTGATCTTTTGCATGGTGTAGTGGAAAGCAAATTTGCTTGACTGTAACACTAATAAAGCTAACTTGAGTTATGTCAGTGGTTTTGGGTTTTCTCATTTCTGTACAAAGAAGAGGTTGTACAAGGTGACTTCAGAGGACCTTGTGAGCTCTTATGTTCAGTCTCTCCTCTTTTTTTTAGCTTATTCTCCTTCCTTTTTTGTTTATATATTTTTTATCCTTTCCTGTGTCTCTTCATTATTAACATATGCTTTTCAAAATTGTCTCCCTTCCTCTGGCTGCATTTTTCAGCAGACCCATGCCTTAACCAAATTTGGACCCTGAGGATACCCTTTCCTGCAATCCATGATGCGTCAGAGAAATATTATCTATCTGGAAATACCTAAGAGAGAAATGTTGTGAACACCTGGGTGTAGATAAGGGACAGCCTGAAGCTGTAAATATACTGAAGGGAGTGCATGGATATATGACACTGGATGCAGTCAGAATCAGTGTGGATTAGTGTGTGCATGAAGCAAGTGATGTTTAGTTTGTTAGATGAATCTTACTCAAGAGGAAATGTTTCTGAGAGAATAATGCATTGTTTACATCACTGATCTTTGGACTGACGACAGAGCTGCTGGGCCTGTTATAACCCAAGTGTAAGAGGCCGGCGTGATCTGCCACATTCCACCTTCTCTCTACACTGAGGTTCTAGATCTCTGAGTGGCTTCTATAACCTCTGTATGACCATTCCTCTAGTGACATGGTGATAGTAAGTGATCTATCTTGTACCTTTATCTCAGCTCTAGCTACTTGAGGAGCATTGTCTGTTTGGGCGCCTGTGTAAGGGACAACACCAAGCAGAAAAGGATCAATTTATGTATCTTACCTAGTTTTCTTGCTCCCAAGACTTGTTGCTCTAGAGGCATCAGATCACAGAATAGAGAAGAAAGCATGGGCTTTGCTGTTGGGAAGGCCTGCATTCAAACCCCAGCTCTGCCATTTACTGTCCACTTGAGTACCTTATTTGAATTGACTGGATGGCAATGGGTTTGGGCTTGCCTTTGGACACATTATTTAGCTTATCTGACCCTTTTTAGTTCCATGCAAATTTAGGCTAGTACCAGGTACATGGTAGGCCTTCAGAAGAAGATAGTTCACCTCTCTAAGAGCCATTGCTCCACTCCACTGTCTTCATCCATCAGCTTGGAGCACTGCCTTCATCACTCTGTTTGCCTTTTAAGGAAACTTGGATTTCCCTAGCTATTTTGACCTGGATGTGGACAAACTCTTTTTCACTTTTGTTCTTTAACATGAGGTTGGGATTTTTTTTTTTATTGTACTTTAAGTGAAAGTTTACAATTCAACTCAGTTTCTCATACAAAAATTTATACACACATTGCTAGGCGACCCTAGTTGCTCTCCCTATACTGTGACAGCACACTTCTCCTTTCCACCCCAGATTTCCCGTGTCCATTCAACCAGCTCCTGACCCTCTCTGCCTCCGGATAGAAGCTGCCCATCTAATCTCATGTATCTACTTGAGCTAAGAAGAAGACTCCTCATGAGTATCACTTTTATGTCCCATAGTCCAGTCTAATTTTTGTCTGAAGAGTTGGCCTCGGGAGTGATTTCAGCTCTGGGCCAACGGAGAGTCCGGGGGCCATGTCTTCTGGGGTCCCTCCGGTCTCAGATAAACCATTAAGTCTGGTCTTTTTACTAGAATTTGAGTTCTGCACCCCACTTTTCACTTGCTTTGTCAGGGAGTCTCTGTTATGTTCCCTGTCAGAGTGGTCATTGGTGGTAGCTGAGCACCATCTAGTTCTTCTGGCCTCAGGCTGATGAAGTCTCTGGTTTATGTGGCCCTTTTGTCTCTTGCTAATATTTTCCTTGTGTCTTTGGTGTTCTTCATTCTCCTTTGCTCCAGGTGGGTTAGGACCAATTGATGCATCTTAGATGGTCGCTCACTAGCTTTTAAGACCCCCGACGCCACTCACCAAAGTGGGATGCAGAACATTTTCTAATAAACTTTGTTATGCCAGTTGACCTAAATGTCACCTGAAACCATGGTTCCCAGACCGCTGTCCCTGCTACTCTGTCCCTTGAAGTGTTTGGTTGTATTCAGGAAACTTCTTAGCTTTGATTTAGTCCAGTTGTACTGACTTCCCGTGTAGTGTGTGCTGGCCTTCCCTTCACCTAAGATAATTCTTGTCTGCTATCTAGTTAGTGAATACCCCTCTCCCTCTCTCTCCACCCTCATAACCATCAAAGAATGTTGTCTTCTGTGTTTAAATGAGGTTGGAATTTTTCAAAAGGAACTTTATTAAGCAAATAAAAGCAAAATGCAAAACAAGGAAGTACATAAATCATAGAAGCAAGAATTTATACAGCACATATTCCTAATCATAAAGTAGATAAAGCTCAGCCTTAGATTACCTTAGCTGGTACAACCTCCTGATCTCACAGGCCTTAGTTTATTCTCTTTAGCCTTGCTTCTTTCATGTTGCCAGAAGCATAATCATGAGCTAGTTGTTAGGGCTGATAGTATCTTTATGAAACTCAGCTTCCTCCCCTATTGTTCTAGGCTGGTCTGCAGATCTGATGTATCTAGTACAGTACTCAATACTGGATGCTCATTAGAATCACCTGGGGAGTTCTTGTTACAAATGAAGATTCTGAGGGACTGATTCTGGAAATTTCTGTTTCACAGGTCTGGGTAGGAGTCAAAGAATCTAGGTACCACCCATCATTCTATGATGCTGTGGTCTTTATTATTGCCATTGTTAACCTGGGAACCTCTTTAGCACCTATATTTTTATTTTTGAAAGTTCCCACTTTCCTATAGAACTCTTCTTCCTATACCTTCTCCTTAAATCTCTCACTTAGTTCATGTTTGCAGGATTAAGGCCATATTTTTGTTTTTTAACTTTTTATATTGAAAAAATTTAAACTTACAAGAAAGTTGCAGAGTGGTACAGTGAACACCCATGTGTCCTTTACTTAGATTCACCAGTTGTTAACATTTTGTCTCTCTCTCTCCCCTACTTGCTCTGTACACCACATGCATACACATGCACGTGTATGCACATACAAGGTGATCGCTTGTTCCCTGTTCATTTGCACAGCAGAGGTGATTGACATTCCTTGAGCCCATTTGATGATCAAGTCTCCTTCCTTGCTTATCTGTCAGCAGCACCCCCCACTCTCCCAGGTGTTCTGCATCATGACCCATTCAGGTACCAACTTTCACCCTCACTAGCAAAGTGGTTAACAATGGGAATGTACTCTCTACATGAAGGAAATTTATTTAGTCACACCCTGAGTTGTGCATTTTAGCCACTCTGAAGTAACTCCCCTTAAGGTCTTAAGTACCTCTTACCCTGATCTATATGCCATGTGCTCTGACCATACTGAGGTCACTGCAACCTCTCCTACCATTCCTTTGTGACTTGTTTCACTGGCCATACTCTCCTCTGCTTCCTGTGTGACCTATATGGGCTTCTCTAGCTACTCTTTTGACTTGCCCTCTGCCCATGTGAGCTCTAGTCCCTGGATGGCATGGCAGCCAAGTAAGCCAGGATGGAGCATGTTCTTCTGCCATACTAAGATCAGTGCTACCTTAGACATCATAGACCTGAACTGGTGCTTATCTCTTTACTTCTGACAGGTTGGTTCTGGTCTAATGACTGGACAAACAGGTTCCTGTCTTATCATTCCACTCAGTTTCATTGCTGACCGTTCCCAGGGTGTGGGAACATTTGATTGCTTTTTGATACAGCAGTTTGCAGTTAGCGATCTTGTGACATCATTTGATGTGAAATCTGGCTTCTCCGAAGGGCTGTCGAAATGTCCTTGGCTAGCAGCTGTGAAGTGGAAGACAGACCACATATGAGGCTTTGGGGATTTCACATGCCTTCCCTAGGGGCTTTTCAGATGACCCAAACTTGGGAGCCCAAGGTCAGTCTTTTTTCTTTTGTGTAAGACACTAGCAGTGCCTTATTGGAAACAGAATGCCAGAAAAGTGTTTCCCAGAAGGGCCGTTTATCCTTTCATGCCTCTGTCTGCCTTGCAGCAGTATGGCAGCTCCCACGGGCCAGGCATGAGGAGGTCTTGAGTCTTTTCTCCCTTTTAGTGTGAGAGGGAAGAGACAACAGCAATTATTGATCTAAGGAGCCTGCTTTTCATCAGGTACAGAAGAGTTGGAATCTTCCTCTAAACAGGAGGCAGTATTATAGAGTGGTTAAGAGCTCAGGCTCTGGAATGAGATGGGCCTGGTTTTGAACCTTGCCTCTGCCACTTCCTAGCTGTCAAATGGGATAAAATTAATAGCTGTATGTACAGAAGTTTCTTAATTGTGCCTCAGTTTCGTGAATTGAAAATGGAGATAATAATAGTAGTATTTACTTCATGGGGTTGTTGAGTATAAAATCAGCTAATATGTATAAAGCACTTAGATCAATGCCTGGTACAAAGTGAGCATTCAACAGGTGTTAGTTGTTGCTATCATTACATGCCTGTTTGAGTTGTGAGGATTAAGTGATCTTTTTGAAGTATGTATCACAGAGCCTGACCTCTATAACCCTGATAATGTTAACTTTAAAAGAAAAGAAAAACCCCACACACAACTTAGAGGCAGCGGCCTCCAGGCTTTTAGTGTGACAGAGATGGAATATTCTTTCAGAGAAAGGGCAGGACCAGACCTGACCTTCTGTGTCAGGGAAATGAGGGAGACAGGTAGGCCCTGGCTAGGGGTGGGGATGCCTGCATTAATGGCAGAGGCTGACAAAGATGCCCACTGTCTGCTTACTGATGTGGACCTGAGTAGATGCTGATGCCAGTTCCTTCTCTTTGTAGGTTTCACAAGCTGATCTGGGGGACCTTTGGCAGTGGGTTTCTGGAAGGCTCTGGGGTTATTGCAGGCGGTGGGGACAATGGCATACTTACTCTATACAGTGTGACCCACATCCTGTCTTCGGGAAAGGAGCTTGTGATTGCCCAGAGACAGAAGCACACAGGGGCTGTCAGAGCCCTCGACTTTAATCCTTTCCAGGTATTACATTTCAGTTGGTCAAACATGGCCACACGTGGAACAGTGGATCTGAATGGAAGCATTCACTTGTGACCACTCATCTGTAATTCTGAACCCTTCCCAGGATGTTACCGGGAAGGCTTTGGATAGCCCTGAATGTGGGCTTCTTTCTCCCTTTCCTGCTGTCATCTCTCCTGGCATGGTTGTCTCCAAAGGCCTTTTCTTCATACAGGGCAATCTTCTAGCCTCAGGGGCCAGTGATTCTGAAATCTTCATATGGGATTTGAATAACCTGAGTGTGCCAGTGATCCCAGGATCCAAGTCACAGGTGAGGAGGCTCCTGGGGCTGCTGCTTAGAGTATACAACTGGTTTTCCCAAGGGAAATTCTTGAATTCTGGGCCTAGCCAGACCAAGGCAATTTCAGGCTGTACCACTGGAGGGCAATAAAGCTCCATGGACTAAGGTGCTACCGGCCAGCTAAGTAGCAGGAATGGGGGAGAAGGTTCCTGGTCATTAACTGTCCTAGGGGCTTCTGGGAGGAAAATGAAGAAGGTAGGAGGCAGTAAAAGATGTTGAGGAAAGGAGTGGGAGTGCTATTTATCATAGTATAGCTTAGGCAGGGTTGGGTAGGGCCCTAGACTCAGCAGAGAGGGAGCAAGAGTAGGATACCCAGATATTTCCTTGTCTTTTTTGTGGAGAGGGTCAGCCTTATCTCATTTCTCTGGACATAGCTATCCCATGTAGTAGGAGGACTGGTATGGGTTCTTGAGTGTGCCTATCTGTCAGTCTGTAACTGGGCCCATCTTTTTGCTTCCTGGCTTTTCCCTGTCTTGTGCTTACAGTATCGTGAGGTAAGTTGAATATGCATTTGATAGCACCTCGTGCCCTGAGAGTAGCAGAGGTTTCTCTTTCTGCCTCACTCCCTCACTAGAAGTCTATGTCGCTTCCCCCTACCTTTCCTCCTTCTCTCCATCTCTTTGTCATAGACAAGAGAACTGTTTTTTAATCTTAACTCTGTCCTCTCAGGAGCATCTTGGATTAGGGGTAAAACCTAAGTATGCCTTCCATTCCCTCAGCTTCTACCATAGTACCCTAAAGGACCCTCCCTGGAAAAGTTAACTCCTAATTCCCTGAGACAGTGTTCGTTTGGGCAGCCAGTGTATACTCTTGGGCTTTCTGTGGTTGGTTGGGAGCTGTGGAGCAGTGGATGTCGCTTGGTCCAGAAGGTGACAAATTGTCCTCCCCACCCCCATCCTGCCTCAGCAGCCCCCAGAAGACATCAGGGCACTCTCTTGGAACTGGCAAGTCCAACACATTCTATCTTCTGCTCATCCCAGTGGCAAAGCAGTAGCGTGGAATCTCAGAAAGAATCAGCCTGTCATCAAAGTCAGTGATGACAGCAACAGGGTGAGTAGGAGAGGCCAGAACACAGGCTTGAGGTCTGGCCTCTCACGCCTAGCAGTTGGAGCTACCCTTTCTCTGGCCAGGGTTCTGCTTTCAGCTGCTGCACATGTGAATAAAGCCCCTTAGCAGATTTCCTATTGAGAGTGAAAGCCTGGGGAAGCTAAACAGAGCTATCTGGAGGTTTCTACCATCCCTTACTTAATCATGGTCATCACTGTGCCCTGATGCTATGGTGTTCCTAATCACATAGAAGAAGACACAGACCTACCCTCAGAGTGGTCCCATTCTACCTGGGCAGAAAAGGTTCACAACCAAGGGAGTCAGGTTACATCACCCAATGGGATCTTCTTTGTTCCCAGATGCACTGCTCAGGCCTGGCTTGGCACCCAGACATAGCTACCTAGTTGGTGCTATGCTCAGAGGGTGATCGTCTCCCAGTGATCCAGCTGTGGGACTTGCGCTTTGCCTCCTCACCCCTGATGGTGCTGGAGAGCCATAGCAGGTAGCATTTCAGTCTCTATCCCCATCCTTGTGGGACATAACTGACGTAGGTAAGAGGCAAAGGTTGCCTTGCTTTAGCTACCAAACATCCTCTCTGACTTTAAAGCCATCCCAGTGAACATAGTCACCCAGTCTGTGGTGAATAGCCTGAGGTTCCATCTAACTTCCAGAGATGGGAGTGGGAATGGGGTTGTGAGAAATATTGAAGCCAGGCTCTGATCTGAGGATAATGCTCATTTCCTTAGGTGATGAGGTTGCCTCCTCAAAGTCTCCTTCCTTAATAAGAGCAACCTGGCTCCTATCTATCCTGCTAATAGGCCTTCACCTGAACCTGCAGCCCGTGGGCTCACAGCATAGGTAGCAGCCCCACAGTCTGTTCTTTCTAACCAAAGGACCGTTTTGCCTTTATACCTCTTGGGCGACTTTTGAGAGTTAGGTCCTCACTACCTTCCAAGGCTAAAACCTCAATACAAGAGGGTTCAGCCATAGGAATGGGTGCTTGCCTGATTCATACTGATTCACAGTTCTCACCCTATAATCAGGAAAAAGAAAGAGGCCACCTGGCAGTGACCCTGGCAGGCAGCGTGGTACAGTGCACAGGCGCTGGAGTTCGACTTGGATTCAGGTCTCACCCAGTGCCACTTTCTGGCTCTGCAACTGTCTGAAAGTCACTTCACTTTTCAAAGCCTTGTTTTCCTCATTTGTAAAATGACATCAGACCACCCATTTTTAAGGCTGAGATTTATCTAAGATGTATTAAGTCATTCTACTCGTAGGCGTTCAACAAATATTAGTTCCTTTTTCTTTTCCTTTTTAGGGGGATCTTGTCAGTGTCATGGAGCCAGGCTGATGCTGAGCTGCTGCTCAGTAGTGCCAAGGACAACCAGATCTTGTGCTGGAATCTGGGGAGCAGCGAGGTAGGCTGGCCCTTCTGTGAGAGTATTGGGATGGGAGATGAGATAGTGGAGGTTTCCCTACTGCAGCTGTGTGTTTTGGGTTTCATGGACTGCATGGTCCCTAATGGTTGTATTCCCTCATATTAGGTGGTGTATAAGCTACCCACACAGAGCAGTTGGTGCTTTGATGTGCAGTGGTGCTCTCGGAACCCTCCAGTGTTCTCTGCTGCCTCCTTTGATAGCTGGATCAGTTTGTATTCTGTGATGGGTAGAAGCTAGGAAGTCCAGCAGATGAGACAAGCTGACAAGGTTTGAAGGGCTTGGTGGAGAATGCTGGAGGGAAGGGGTTCTCTCTATTGGGGGAAGACAGAAGGACATATGACTTGGGAAGAGATGGAGGCTGTTGGACACTAGGAGACCAGGGCCCTGGGTTTGGGAGAGCCGCATCTTTGCTACATTGCCTACCTTCCTGGCAGGATGTCAGTTCCTGCCACCACAAAGGAGGCCCTCACCTTGACTCTTGTGTGGGACCGTTACTTTAGGAGTATCAACTCTTGCTTTCCTCTCTCCCACAGACCCCTTTTATGTCATACTCCACTGTAGACCATGGATGCAGTAGGTTCTCCAAGAGTCACCCTACTGTATGGAAGTCCCACCCTCACTCCCAGTCTAGGAGTCTGACCTTCCTAGGTTGAATGTCCCAAGGGTTCCTCCAAAAATGGAGTTTGTAGGTGGAGTTTCTGGTTAAGCCTCTGCTTCATGCTGGTGATACAGGTGTCCTTTTGCCCTCAGATCTCCTCTTCCTTCAGCAAAGGCCAGCGTTTCCCACCATTGCAGGTGCCAGAGCAGGTGGCCCAAGCAGCGTTGATACCTTCCCTGAAAAAACCCCCCAAATGGATTAGAAGGCCAGCAGGCGTTTCGTTTGCTATAAGTGTAGTGTGTGTGTGAGTATGTGTTTTTTGGGTTATGGCTATGTACTTGTGAAGCCCACCACATGCCCAGCATGGAACTGAGTTCTGTAAGAATTTTCTTTTTCTCACTGCCTGTGCCCAAGATAAGGTCCTACTTTATCTCTCAAGCTGAGAGTTACTATAGCTTCCTCTCTACCCCTTCACCCATCCTACACCCTGCTTGCTTGCCCAGCCAAAAACCAAGCCCACTGCCATCGAGTCAATTCTGACTTATAGCGACCCCATAGGGCTTCCAAGGCTGTAAATCTCTATGGAAGCAGACTGCCACATCTTTCTTCTGTGGAGCCACTGGTGGTTTCAAACTACCGACCTTCTTTCGGTTAGCAGTCTATCGCTTTAACCACTGCGCCACCAGGGCTCCTTCTTGCCATCTCAGTCCTGTCTAAAAGAAGTGATTGCTTTAGACCTCTTGGTCATGGAGAATAGCCTGAGTTTCCACCTAATTTTTCTCTAACCCTTACATGTCTGGACTGGTAGTGAGGAAACAAAGAAGGAAAGAAGAAATGTAGATTTCATCATTGTCACTCAGCTGCTCAAAACCTTTTTGAGCCCTCAGTGCCTTATAGACTCAAGGCCAAATGCACACAGGGCCCCACTTACCTTTCCAGTGTGTGTTACCATTTCATTCCCTTGTGTTCCCTGTGCTCCAGTTACATGTGACTACTTTCTTTCCCATGAATAACTCCTCAACTCTCCTGCCTCTGCCTGTACCCTACCTTCCATCTTCTCTCCTTTGCCCACTGAATCCTACTACAGCCTTTCAAGGCCCTGCTTAACTATCACCCCCTCCATGATGCCCTTCTTTAACCCTAGTGAAAATTAATCTCACTTCTGTAATCCCACAGATTTGTATTCCTGCAATGATAACATTCTAACTGTACTAAAGCCATATGTGTGTGTATATATATTTATATATACACACATATATATATACGTACACACACATACATGCTGGGACACCCTACTAAGCAATAGACTACTTGAGGATAGGGAGCATGTCTTGTTCATTTTTACATCCCCTAAGCAGTGCTTCTCAAGCTTTAATGTGCGTACAAATCACTTGGAGTCTTGTTAAAATTTAGATTCTGCTTCCTTGGGCCTAGGGAGTCATTAGGTTGACTCCCAAACCAGTTGCTGTCGAGTTAACTCTGACTCATAGCGACCCTACGTGCGCCAGAGTAGAATTGTGCTCCATAGGGTTTTTAATGGCTGATTTTTTGGAAGTAGATTGCCTGGTGTTCCTTCCAAGGCATCTCTGAGTGGACTTGAACCTCTAACTTTTAGATTAGCAGCTGAGCGTGTTAACCATTTGCACCACCCAGGGACTCTGGGTAGGACCCAAGATTCTGAATTTCCAACAAGTTCCCAGATGATTCCCTTGCTGCTGGTGTGAGGACCACACTTTGAGTAGCAAGGCTCTAAAGCATCTAACAAAATGCTTTAGATATTAGGGTTGAATTGAAAACAGATGTATCAAAGTAGAGATTCTTGTTTTCATAGCCAACGGTTTTATTAAGGAGGTAAAGCTAACACTCAAGAGGCTGTGTGAGGTTTAAAAAAAAAAAAAAAAAAAGAGGCAGTGAGGTGAAGAATTCTGAACTAAAGATCAAAGAGCCTGAATTCTTATCATAGCCCTGTCACTTATTAGCTGGGTAACCTTGGGCAAGTCACTTAACCTCTCAGAACTTCAGTATTCTTATCTATAAAGTGGGGATAGTAATACCTGCCCAGCTTATGTTAGTGAATTGACATGACCTGCCAATGAGAATATATGTAAGCACTTGTAAAACTATAAAGTACTATACAAATAAAAAGATAGTTTTGTTTAGCACTAAACTGTGGTGTAGATTTTGTGCTGTAAGGGTTAAGAGAAATAAGAATTCTGAGCGGGAAGGTTTATTAAGGAGGTGGGGCTTGGGAAGGGAAGTAATGGTTAGGGAGTAGAACAGTAGTTGTCAGCCCTGGCTGCACACTGGAATAATCTAAAGAACTTTAAAAAATACTGATGTCTGGTTCCACCCCTCAGAGATTCTGATTTTATTGCCTGGGGTGTGACTCTGGTGACTCTGAATATTAGTGCCTTAAAAGCTCTCCAGGTGGTTTTAATGTGCAGTCAGGGTTGAGAACTGCTGGAGTAAGGGAACTTCAGCTCCTGTTTTGTGCCAGGTGCTTTATATAAAGTACCTAATTTGTCAGGTGGGGTGTTGTGGTGAGCAAAGGCACAGAAGTAGAATAATCCAAGCATTTTAGGGGTGTGGAGAGATCACATAAATGAGCAGGGAGAGAGTTGCTGGGAGAGACAGGTATGACCCTGATTTTAGAGGATTTTGTGCACTAGAGGCAGAGGAGCTTAAGGTCTAACCTGGGGCCTTGTGAAACCATTACAAGCTCCTGAGTAGCAACTGTGATAGGGTGGTAGTCTAAGGTTGGATTAGAAGAGGGGGAAAAAACAGAGGCTATCAGCCTATTCTAGTAACCTAGGTGTGCTGGCACTGGGAATGGAATGGAGGGGACCTGCATGAGAGACACTGAACAAGAAGAAAAGTTAAGACTTTGTTGTTATTTGGTTATAGTGGGTATATAAAGATGTAATGATGCTCAGGTGACTGGGAGAATGGTGGTACGAGGACAGGTGAGGAGAAGATGAGTAACGTGGTGAAGTTTTAAGCTGATGGTGCTAAGAATGCAGAGGTAGTTTTGGCATGGGGGCACTTTCAATACTCAGTTCATAATACTATTCGATCTTTAGGAGTTCTCCTACTATTGAATTTTCTATCCTGGGGTTGACCGATAGCGTTCCCTGGATCCTCACTTGGTGTTATTTTTTGGCTTGAAGATATGACCTTTGCCCTTCTTTGTTTTTTCTTACTAGTTTGTGCGGGAAGCTGGTTACCTTTGGCCTCCCCAGCACCCCTGCCCATCAGGTGCCACAGCCTTGCCCTGGCCTCATCTTCATCAGTCAAGTAACCACAGAATCTGAACTCCTGATGCGGTCAGCTGAGCTGCAGGCAGCGCTCAGATCAGGAAATCTCCTGAATTATTGTCAGAACAAGATCCAGCAAACTTCATCGCAAAGGGAAGAGATGCTCTGGCAGTTCCTGAAGGTAGGAAGCCTGAAGGCTGGCTGCTTAGAGGTGTTTCCCCAAAGCCTGGAACCCAGGTCTGACACTCCAACCTATGTCAAATCCAGGGCACATAAACCCACACTGTGACCCAGATTACAGTGACTCCAGCCCCTATTAGTTTTTTTCCTACACAGCACCCATCGTGTGGACACAAAATCTTCACCCTTTATCGGAGGCCCAGAAACCATTTATGAAGTAGGTAGGAAAGATGGGGAATACATGGGATGGTTTCCTTTGTTGCTTCTATTGCTGATGCACTGGATATTTTACCAGAGCCAAAGGAGGCTTTTCACAGTGTCATAGCAAAAGACAGGTGGGGTGATGGGAGGGAAGAAGAAAGAAAGGAAAGGAAAGGAGAGGGAAAATAAAGAAGAGGACTGATTGGACAGGTTCGTTGTCATGAGCAGGCTGTGAGTTTATTTTGAATAACCCAAAGCAAGTCGTCGTGGTGGCACTCAGGGTTCAGGTCCCACTAGACTCTGGAGGCATGGGTTCAGTTCCATCTTTCATTTAATTTCAAGTTGCTTCTGACACCTGGAGGAGTGCTATACCTGTCAAAGAAATTGAGTAAACTGAGAGGAGAGATCTGAAGGAAGGGAAGTAGCTAACTGGACAGGCAGTGGGAGGTTTAGTCAAGTCCTTATGATTATAGAGAAGAATGTAGGAAAAAAAAGACAGGGCCTATCCCTAGGTGTCTGAGAAGGACTCGGATCTGTGCTTCAGACATAGTAAGACTTTATGAGAGTAGACACCAAGGAGCTGGGAAGGAAAAGAGGATTTGAGAAAGATCATCAACTGTAGAGTGACCCTAGGGAAAGATGTGGGAAGAAAAGAGTAATAAATGATGCTTATGTTATAAGAAAGATATAAGTAATAGCTCCAGGAGTGGAGGGGACAGAAGGAGACTAGAGGGAGTGATCAGGAGCTCAGCCTTTACTCTGCTGAACAACGGAGGTGGTGATTGCCTATAAGACCAAGGCGAATCTGGTTTAAAAGCTACCCAGGAGCTGTCCATCATGATGGTTCCTGAAGCTGAGTATGGATGTCTTTCCAAAGGAAGAGCACAGAACAGGAGGGGGCTCTGAGAGGCTATGAGAAAGACTATAGTTAGAGTTCAGGGTTCAGTGTGGGATAAATGAAGGGACCAGATCAGCTAACCCAGATTAGGGGGGCTTGGCCCTCAGTATCTGAGACACCAAGTAAGTAAATTGACTCTGTTTACTGTATCCATGCAAGTGTATCCAGGGGTTTTCTCAACTAGACATTTAGACTCACAAGACTGCCATAGGCTATACGTGGCATCAGTCTCTTCGGAAGGATATGGGCCAGGAACCACAGCTTGTCAGCAGGGCAGCATCAGGTACCCTTCTGTGGGAGTCCTTGCAGCAGTCCATGTAGCAATTCACATAGCCATCCAAGAGTTCTCTTCTTCAGCTCCTCAGAAGACAGCTTAGGTGCAAGGAGATGAGACATGTGTTGAGCAGGTGTGTAAGCTGCCCTCACTTAGAAGCTTCATGCCCCACAGGAGCCAATGTATCTTGTAACAACTCCATAAGTATAGCTTCCAAAGTCCTTGCAGGGGATCTGTCTGTCCAGTTACAGGAGTCATTGTAATCAGGGTGTCCTCATCAATTATTTGTAGTTTATTTATAGTTCCATCCAGTCCAGATGCAATTTACCAATCACAACAATGTTGCCTGGAAACATAGTTGACATTTTACTCTTTCCAGGTTATCAGGTAACAGAGTGAAGATGCCAATGAAGGTTAAATGCTCATGCAGAGGCAGAAAAGGTTTCATTCATGTTTTGCCTACGGCCCAGCAGTAAGTCAGATCTGGGTAGGAAAAGAGAGATGGCATTGGCCTCAACAGGGGCACTTCGAGTAGTACAAAGTACTATATTTGAGGGTACAAGGTAACACTGGCACAGATGCCCAGCTCGGTGCAGGAGGAGGATCATTCACATTCATCTAATGGAGACTTTTCTGTGTCCTGTGATTCCTTAGGCAACCTTAGAGCAAGACTCCAGGATGAAATTCCTAAAGCTATTAGGATACAGTAAAGATGAGTTGCAGAAGAAGGTAAGCTACGCTTCATATCAGAAACTTCATGTAGAGAATAAGAGTATCGTGTCAGAGAAAACAGTTTCAGAATACCTCTTCCTGGGTTAATTAACGCACATTCAATCGTTTGGCCTCCTGGGGTTAGGATTTTTCCCAGGAAAATAGCTCAAGGATCTTAGAGAGGCCAGTTGGTGGGATATGGAGATTGGAAGAGAAAATAATGCTGGTTTGATTTTATGCTGGGGAAGGTAGTTCTCACAGGTCTCTCCCTGCAGGTGACCACATGGTTGAAGAGTGACTTGGGGCTGAGTGAGAGCCCTCAGCCTGAGGGAAATGACCTCAACAGTTCCAGACAACAGACCTTCTGCTGTCAGGTACTGTGGGAGTCCAGCCAGCCAGACTGAGGGTGGCACAGGGGACCTCACTTTAGGACACCTTCCTCTTCCTGGTCCTTTGCTTTGCTTTCAATAAGTGCTCAGCTTTTGTAGAAGTCTTCAAGCTTGTTGGATCTCTCTTGGAACCAGAGTGAGACACAAGAGTCCATAAGCTTTCGGGCTGGCAGTAGAACTGTATCTTAACCAGGAACTAGGACTCTTTCCAAAGTAACCCTTGTCTGATTACTTCTTTAGCTCTACCATTAAGGACCAAATAGTAGAGCTCCCAGAGATAGTCACTAAGCCAGCTGTCTCACTTCTGGGTTCAATTCCTAAGTAGTCACCTCTGTCCTTCCCTGTACAGGCCTCCAAACATACTACAGAGGAGTACCCTGCCTCCTCAGCCTTCTTTGACTAACTGGTCCCTCAGAACATGACTCCACTGGAGATTCCCATCACAGAAGGTACCCTGACCCCGGGGAAAAGGAGCCCTCTGCTTGGGAGTAAGGGGGCCCAAAGTTCCTGGGTTTGAAGATACTCACTTCTTGTACCCTGCCTCCTTCCCATCATCTCAAATGCTGGGAGGGTCTTTTCTTGGAGCTCTCTTTGGTTGTAGGTTTTCATGGATGAGTCCTTCCTATGGGACACTTCTACCAAGATATTTTTTTCTATCCTTTTTGTCTATTTGCTTAAAGGACTGCGACCCTGCCCTTGCTGAGCATGTACACATCATGCCTATGATACTGCTACATGAGGCCGATCCCTCGTCTTGGGCCCTGTCCTTAAAGAGTAATACTGGACCTGGGCACCCGTGGTCCCATTGCTGAGGAATGAAGGTTGGGGGTTTTGTTTGGGGCAAGAGAAGCTAAATGATATAGACATGGGAGGTATGATATGGGCTCTGCAGGGGACAGGAAACAAATCTCATGGGGAGGGACTGCCTCTGCCTGCAGACACTGATGGACTGCTGAGCCATGCTCTCCTACTTGGGGAACTGGGCCCTGCCATGGAGCTGTGTCTGAAGGAAGAATGCTTTGCTGATGCTATCATCCTGGCCCAGGCTAGGAGCCAAGATCTGCTGAAGCAAACACAGGAGCACTACTTGGCCAAGAAGAAAACCAGAATTTCCTCGGTAACTGCCCACCATGCAGGAGAGGAGGGGATGGGATTACTTGGACCTTGTCAGGTAGATGCCCATACCTTGGGAATGGTATTTAGAGTACTTCCCTGTCTCTCTCTCTTCCCACTCTAACTACCGCTACCTCACCCCCACCCCAGCCTCTAGTCAGTGGTCTAAGAGGAAACCTGCTTATAAGTGACTCTTAACACATACTGTGCATGGCTCCTGCTGCCTGTGTGGATGGATGACCGATGGCCTCCTTCCCTCTTTGCCCATTACAGCTTCTAGCCTGTGTTGTGCAGAAGAATTGGAAGGACATGGTGTGTGCCTGTAACCTGCAGAACTGGAAGGAGGCACTGGCCTTGCTACTGACATACTCAGGACCAAAAGAATTCCCTGAGCTCTGTGGTAGGTGTGGCCCTACTGCCTCCCAGGCTTTTGGATGGAGTGATGTGAGCTCCTTTGTCAATGGACTCAGTGAGGGAGGAGGCAGAGTTGAAGCCTGAGTTCTGAGAGGCCAGGCCATGTTGTCAGGGCCAAGGTCTGGCTTGGCTAGGAGGCGGGGATTACAGTGCATGCCCTTACCTTCAGTAGGGGTCATTCATTGTCTTTTTTACTTTTTCTTGTTGCAACTTGATGCAAGAACTTTGCCTATTGAAAAGTACTAATATTTGTGTTTAACACATATGCGGGATTTTTTTAAAGCTCGAAGCCTTGGGGTGCTTATTGTTTTTTATGGAGCATGCCACCTTTTTTCTCCCCCAAAACATAACCATGATTTGTACCTTCCAAATAGAATAAGCTACATTAAGAGGTATCATATGGGACTTTCTGTTAATGTAAAATGCTACATGTAATGTGATTAAAGTGTGGCTGCTGAATTAGAATGTTCCCTTTTCCCTAGTCTACACTGGCTATTCTACTTGTAATTAAAGGTATTTAATGCATATTAAAAAAAAAAAAAAAAAAGAACTTTGCCTGTCAGTGTAGAGCAGGGTTAGCCTTGATGTTGTCTTACAGCCACCATAGCTACTTGTCCTATCATTCATGTTCCTCATCTGTTTCCAAACAGGAAAAAGGAAGAAGAGCACAGGAAGCTGTGCCATTAATGAAATGTCCATCTCTCTGCAGACATGCTGGGAACTCGCATGGAGCAGGAGGGTGGCAGGGCACTAACCTCCGAAGCCAGACTCTGTTATGTGTGCTCGGGGAGCTTGGAGCGGCTGGTGGAATGCTGGGCAAAATGCCACCAGGCTGCATCCCTGATGGCACTGCAGGTACTCCTCTCTGCAGGGTACTGGATACTCCATACCAGGCCTTTGAGAGAGGCTAGTGTTGGAGATGGGCAAGGACGTCAGAGGCAACTCCCAACACCACTAGAGCCAGGGTGTTAGGGGGAAGGAAAGGGGCCTAAGCACTTGGGACTTTCTTCCAAGGGTGAGATATTATCTATCTGCCCCTATCCTTCACAATCAGGGGAGACTAAGAAGCAACTACTTGAGTATTAACCTTCATAATTTTTTCCCAATCCAGGTTTGGTTATACAAGTTAATTCTGTATTTGGGTAATTGTGAGCCTGGCCCTTCTGTTAGCTGGTGTGAAAAGTTCTGTGGTTCTATCCTGTACCAAGCATTCTGTAGGTGACCAGAGAAGGTGGGGTCACAGGCTTATAGACAAAAGTCACGCATGAAACAATAGTATAAGAGTCTGTAATTGATGATACACTAGAAGGGATAAATAAAGCAAAAAGAGGAGGCAAAGATGTACGAGAGTCTTAAGACCCAGCTAGGTCCAGTGGAGCCCATTCCAAACAGCTTGAGAGGTGAGGCCAAGTGGCCCTTCTATAGCTCACGTGGCTCTTACATATCATTGCCTGCTGCGTTCACCTGGCTATAGCCAGAAAATGCTGCCCTCACCTCTACCCATAGTGGGAAATCCCTGAGGGAGCCGCCTGGGCTTAGAAAGCAGCGTGTGGTATGAAGGCTGACCACCTTCATCCTTGTCCCTATAGAATCTGATGGAGAAGGTGGTGGTCCTCAACAGGGGCTTGGAGCTACTCTTGGGTCCTGATGGGGTGAGCCTAGGCCCTGCCACAGCCCACACTGTCACTCAGTATGCCAGCCTTTTGGCATCCCAGGGCAGCCTGGCCACTGCCATGAGCTACCTACCCAGTGACTGTGCTCAGGTGAGTGGGGCACTATAGAGAGAACAGACGATTTCATTCAGTCATCTCACACTGGCTGAGCACCTACCATGTGCTAGGCATTATGCCGAATGCTGAAGCTTCTATGATATATGAGGTCTAGTCCCTCAAAAGCAGCTCACTACTGGGGGAAGATGAGATGTCAGTAACTAGTAGTGCCATAACAGAGGCTTGTACAAAGCACTGTGAGACTTTAGGGAAGGATCTGATTTTGCCTGGAAGAATCAAGGAAGGCTTCCAGTGGTTAAAATAGTTGATCTGGACCCTCAAAGAGAAGCAGCTTACCAGCAGATGTAGAACATTCTAGACAGACAGAACAGCAAGGAGGGAGAAGTGGAAGTACTTAGCAGGGCTTAGGGGACTTTGAGTCATTCTAAAGTGGCTAGAGTGTAGAGAGGGTCAGCTGAAGTTTGACTTCTATATGGGGCCAGGCTTATAAGAGGCTGTTTTGCTTTTTTTAATTTTAACACATTTCTTCCTTATCACACCTTTTGCAGGCACCAGTTCAGCAGCTGAGAGAGAGGCTTTTTTTATGCCCAGGGTTCTGGAGTCTTGGGCCAACAGTCTCCCCCTTTTCATTTCCCACAGGTTGTTGTGGGAGCTACCCCCCACTCCACAGAGACATCATTTTATAGATTGGGATTTCAGCCTTCTCAGAAAGTAATACTTTACTTGTTTATTCACTTTTTCATTAATTCCAAAATATTTACTGTGTGCCTACCATGTGCCAGGTACAGTTCTAGGCACTGGAATATATTAATGGCAAAACCAGTGAAAATTCCTGACCTTATAGAGCATATAGTTTCAGTTATTTTTCTAGTCACTTTATTAAACACCTATTAGGCTCTTAGAACAGAAAAGTGTACAAAATGTGATCCTTGCCCTTAAGTAGCTCATAGTCTAGTGGAAAGATAGATGTAAAAAATAACTAGGAAAATTGATAAATGCCATGATTGACGTATGATAAGGTGCCATGGAATCACGCACAAGAAAGCAATTCACTGTGTGTTTGTGGGGGAAGGGGGCTGACGGAGGGAACAGTTCAGGGAATGTTTCAGAATGAGTATAATGTTATATACATTGTTGGATTTGAATTTATTAAAGTTCTGTTGAGGACTTCTGTGTGTAAATTCATGAGAGATATTGGTCTGTAGTTTTGTGCTGTCATTGTCTGGTTTTGGTATTAGGATAATACCTCATAAAATGAATTAGGAAGTGTCTTAATCAGGGTTCTCTAGAGGAACAGAACCAGTAAAATACACACATACTCAGAAAGAGATTGAGACTGATAAATTTAAGGAATTGGCTCATTGATTGGAGGGTTGGCAAGTCCAAAATCTATAGGTCAGGCAACAGGAGATTCCTTAAGTCTTGTGTCCCAGAATCTGTAGGTCAGGTGATGGGAAGAGTGGAGGAGTTCTGGCAAGATGTCTGTTTATATAGTATGGAGGCAGGGAAACCTAGGGAAAACTCCCTTTTGCTCTTAAGTCCTTCATTTGATTGGATGAGACCTACCCACATTATGGAGTATAACCTGCATTACTTAAGGCCAACTGATTTAATCACATGTAACTACTTCATAACAGCATCTAGTATTTGACCAAACAACTGGATACCATAGGCTTAGCCAAGTTGACACATAAGATTAACCATCACAGGAAGTGTTCTCTCTTATTCTATTTTCTGGAAGAGGTTGTTAATTCTTTGAATATTGGTAAAATTCTCCAGTGAAACCATCTGGTCATAAAGATTTCTTTTTTCAGTGATTTTTATTTACAAATTCAATTTCTTTAAGTGTTACAGGACTATTCAGGTATCTGTTTTATCTTGGCTGAGTTTTAGTTGTTTGTGATTTTTGAGAGATTGTTCCATTTCTTTTTTAAGTTGTTGAATTTATGAGTGTCAAGTTGTTTGTAGTATTCTTTATTATCCTTTTAATGGCTGCAGGATCTGTTGTGATATCCCCTATTTTATTCCTGATATTTGATTATTTATGTCTTTTCTGTGGAGACTTGGTGGTGCAGTGGTTAAGTGCTCGGCTGCTAACCAAAAGGTCAGTGGTTCAAACTTACCAGCCACTTGGCAGGAGAAAGGTGTGACAGTCTGCCTCTGTAAAGATTTCAGCCTTGGAAACCCTATAGGGTCGCAATGAGTTGGAATCGACTAGACAGCAATGGGTTTTTTGGGTGTCTTTTCTCTTTTTATCAATCTTTCTAGATGTTTATAAGTTTTACTGACTTCCCCCCACCAAAGAACCAGCTTTTTGTTTCATTCATTTTCTGTTTTCAATTAATTCCCTTTCTTTTCCTGTGTAACAGCTGATCCTTTGTTTCTTCACAGGTTTCAACTCCATCACCAAGGCCAAGAGTTTTCACTCCTCAGTGTCCACCAGTGATGCCCTTGACATCTTCCTATCCTAGCCCTTATCAGAGTTCCAAAGCCCAAAATATAAGTGTCTACAGGGTACCTGGGCCCCAGGCAGCCCAGCCTTTGCCCCTGGGCTACGGGGTGAAGCCTGGTGAGTAAATGAGGGAGTGAAGATCTGTCTGGCAGAGCACGGAGTTCTCAGGAAAGCAATTGGCAAAGCCAGCAGGGATCTGGGAGGCAGTATGTTATTCTATTGAAAGAAGCTTAGAAATTGAGGTCTGAATTCCCAGCACTGTCACTTACTGGTTTTGGACCCATGGGCAATATACTTAGCCACTCTGTTTCTTTTGTAAAATGAGAGTAATTATTATGTTTGTCATTTCAACTCAACAGGATTGTTTTGAGAGTCAAATAAGAATATAGTTAAAAGTATTTTATAAATGGTAGATCTCTCTTCACATGTATTAATCATTTATTATTTAGTTATTTTTTATTGCTGCCCTGTTCCTCCCTGATATGCTCAGGGTCTCTCCCAATTTGAAGTTGAATGGCACATGACTTATTTCTACTCTACTTCAGCTCTATCTCAGCCACTCTTCTTAGGAGGGCAAAGGACCCAAGCTCCTAACCCTGTGGGACTCCCTGGATTGTGGCCTCTTTGTTGTCCCCCTCCATCCATGGCATCCCCAGACATCATGCAGCCTGGCTCTACTTCCCTGCCTGAGACTCCTCAACTCCTCCTTCTGCTTCCTGTGAGACCACCAGGTCCCAGCCCTATGAGCTCCCAGACCCCGCCCCCTCCTGCGAGCTCCCTTGTAGCATACCCTCCAGGAGGGCCAGGTGCTTCATACTGTAGCGCCTTCCCAACCACTGGCATCTTGACTCCTCACCCAGGTCAGTCTTCCTCCAATGGCTTCTCTCTTCTGGGTCATTATTTCCCTCTCCTCCCCCACTACCACCTTGGGAGTCTGTCCCCTCAAGCCAGTGAACTGGGGCTCCTTGGGTTGGAGAATATCAAGTGGGAGTGTGACTGATCTGTAGAGGGAGGAATGGTGGACTCCAGCTAGAATAAATTTGTTGACCTTCAGGTCAAAAATTTCCAGTGTTCCTAACATGCCTGTAAATACCTTTATCTTTTTTACTATACAGGGTCTCAGAATTCCTGGAAAGATGTGTCAGCCCCAAGGGGGAACCACCAGAGGAAAAAGGTCAGTGCCCGTCCCACCACCACCACCACCACTCATACATTCACCAATGACCTGGGTTCTAATTCCTTAAGAATTCAGCCCAGTACTCCCCATTCTCAGGCATCCACTCTGTCCTCTCTTTCCCCACTCACTCTTTTTCTTCCTCCTCTTTCCCTCTTACATACATACACCAGTCCTCCCACTTCCCTTGTTATTCTGTCTCTTTTTCACTCAAAATTTCTGCCACTCTCCAAAACTAGGACCTAAAGAGTCTTTTCAGCATAGACTCGTGTTCCTTTCTTTCTCTCTCTTTACCTGCTGGAGGCATTTACACCCCCAGCACCAATTACTGCTCCAGTTATGAGCCTCACCCCTGAGCCACGAGAGGGCCTTTCCTCACAGCCTCCTGTCCCTGATGTGGGTCGTGCTCCCCCCGGGGCTCCAGGAGAGCTCAGCCTGCAGGTAACAGGAACAGCGTGCCCCCCTCCCCTGGCTGACCTTCGAGCCCTCATTGGGAAGGAAATGGATTCTGCAGAAGGGAGGGGCTGTGGCAGATTGGCCTCATTCCTTAAGGTAGAGGCAGTCTGAGCTAAAAGAGATGGGGGCCAGGGACCAGGTGTCTTTACTGCAGAGAAGGGGAGGGTGACCCCTCCCCAACTCTGCTCTAGAGACTCGTGAGTCACTGAAGACTAGTCCTTAGGGTTGCCGTGAGAAGGACAGCTTGCCCATCCAGCCTATTTCCCTGCTCCTTTTCATCAGCAACTTCAGCAACTGCCACCTGAGAAGATGGAAGGGAAAGAGCTGCCCCTGGAGCATCAGTCCTTGAAGACCAGCTTTGAGGTACTTCTACAGTGCTGCTCCCTGTCTGCCACTGACTCAGTAAGCCTCAACTCACCCACAATGCCCTCCTCACGCCCCTAGCTGGTTCCAGGACCCCCTCAGCTATAGACCAGTTCCTTGTATGATTCTTTTCACTGCTTCTGGACCTGCCGTGTCTGTATCTTATACTTAATTTGATGTCCATGAGGAGTAGGGGAGGGGTTTGGAATCTGTTCTGAAGTCCAGCTCCTTGGTAGCAGGACCCAAGCATCAAGAGTTAACTCTTGGCAAGGTAGCAGGGGGTACTGGAAGGAGGTGAAGCCAGGAGTTAGGAAGCCTGCCATTCATTCACTAGCTCTGTCAGCTTGAGCTAGTCACTTACCCTCTTTGGACCTTTGTTTCCTCCTCTGTGAAATGAAGGAGATAGCATTAAGCCCTTCTAGCTCTAACATCCTGTGATTCTTTATAGTCCTGGGTAGTGTTAGACTTAGGGACTAGGGTCAGAATCCATTTCCTTCCCTGCAGAAGACAAAACGGAAGCTGGATGAAGCAGCCTGACAACTAGAATGTCTATATGAGAAGCTCTGGGAGGGGACTGTAAGTACACCTATTGTGTACCTTTGCCTCCTGCCCTTCCACCATCACCCATGGCCAAAGGGTACCCAGTGCCTTCTCTTCCTATATTGTCTTACTGACCTGGGTTCCCCCCAAAATACATCTTGCCTGGATTGGGCTCCAGAACTTGAGTCCCCTCCTGTCCCTGCCATGCTGCCAGGATGGGGTCTGGGTTGGGCTTACTAACCTGTGTCAATCCTTCCACAGCTCTCACCTCAGCTTCTGGCTGGGCTCCGCAAGGTGGCCTGGTGTGTGGATGCAGGAAGCTTTGAGCAGGGCCTTGCAGTGCATGCCCAGGCGGTGGGCTGCAGTAGCTTCAGCGAGGTGTCCAGCTTCATGCCTATCCTGAAGGCTGTCCTCACCATTGCTCAGAAGCTGCAGGTCTAAGCCAGACAACCTCTCTTGCCAGGAGGCCACTTCAGCTGTTATTCAACTCCTACCCTAAGAAAAGGGGAATTTCGGAACAGGTTCTGTTTGCCTTTCCCAACGCTCTTTCCATGCTGCCAGGTACGTGATGCTATAGACTTGGCTCCAAACCAGCTGAGTGCCTGCTTTAAACCCCTTTATTCCTCGCCTTCTAGGATCTGCTCAAGCCTCTGTCAGCCCCAGAGGCAGGGTTGTGGGCCAGTTCTTCACTTTCTCTATTATCACACTCTGACAGAACCTAGGGCAGGATATCATCTCCCCCAGGGATATCCTGTTGAAGTGGCTTCTGAGAGGGTGAACAGGATTGTTACTTCCAAGTCTACCTGTGCTATACTAATCTTGCAAATTGTTTGTTTTTACCCTTTGTGGGTTATGAGCCTGATTTTACCCTCTCCCTGTGTCTGACTTCCTATTTCCAGGTCCATATTTCTCTGTAGCCCCAGGGGCTTGGGGTAGAATTGACTTATTTGAACAAGTCATGGACATGAGCATGAAGTCATGCTGAGCAGAACTGAGAGAGGGGACTTTTTTCAATGGAGCTGCTCCCTCTGCCAGCATTATTAACGGTGGGCTAGGTCAGGTGGAAAGTATAAGGTGTAAGGGGTGTATGTCTTTTGCTGGGAGCTGTCTTAGGCTATGAAATAGGAGTAGAGGGACCACAGCCTATGAGGAATGGCCCCTGATTCCACTTATGGTTGGGCCCTGGCCCAAGGCCCTAGACCATTCTGTGACTATAAGCCCAATTCTGGAATAGGAACTATATTAACAAAAGACTCTTCCAGCACTGTTCTTTGAGGTTTGGGGGCCCTTCTGCCCCTCAGCCACCGTATATCTCAGGGTTACCTTCTCTGGTTGCATGTTCATGTTTGGACTCTGCATTTGATGCACAGATGCACTTAATGGTGTAATAAAGCTTCCTTGATGGGTTTCCTCAGTCATCTCCCAATCATTGTCTCCTCTGGGTCCTATTTTACCATTACCTTTCTTTCTAGTCCTCTTGGTTCTTGTTCCCTGCACCCTAATAATTCAGGGGAGAGGCTTGGGGAGAGATAGGGAGTCAGGAGATTTGAAGAAAGGAGGTATCCAGTCCAAGTGAATTAGGCCACAAGGCTGTCTCCCTGCAGCATTTGTGGCCACTCTGCTGTGTGTGGGTGGGGGTGGGGGTGGATGTGTGTGGTGTGTGTGTGCGCTTGTGCGCATGTGTGTGTGTCTGGCCGTGCCTGACATTCAGCTCCAGGGTTTTCCCCACACCACTTCAGGGCTGAGCTCAGCTGCACAAAGGGGCTGGGTGTGAAGCCAGGGGTACTAGCCCTAATCCTGTTGTAGATCCCATCATGTCTGCAGGCTAGATGTGTATGTTTGGGAGGGAGGGATTGTTAGGCAGTATTTGTTTGTAAAGCCACTTGCTCTTCAGATAATACTTGCACTAACTTCTATTGATGAAGCAGTGTGAGCCCCAGCAAAGTCCTTTCCCAAAGTGTCTTTGAAGCCAAGAACCCATTGAAGGGAAGAAAGGCCGGGAGAGGGGATTAGTTTGTTCAGCAGCTGTGAATTTCAGTGGGAGGTTGATGAACTCCGAAGTCTTTGTTTAAATTAAAGGGGGGGAGAAAAAAGCCGCTGCTGGAGTGAGAGCCCCACTTGGGGCCCTGAACTAACACAAGGAGAAGTCTGAGCTGCAGGGAGCTGTGTACTGACTGCAGAGACTTTTCCCAAACACTTTCGGAAAAGGTGTTGTGAGAAGACAAGGGGGCGGAGTGGGGGATTAGCATGTGAAATGAAGTTTTCATTGACTTCAGTGGGGGTAGAAGGCTATTTTAATGGCATTTTGTTCCCTTATTTTCTCTTCTTGAGCTCTTTAGAGATATTGTTTTGCTAAGGCAGGCTTTCTTCCCCTTCTTTCCAGTCTGAGGATTGCCTCTATGGGAGCCAACATAAATATTTCTCCTCCAGGAATGCGGGTTAATTAAAAGGAAATGAATGAGTGGAAGCATCCAATCCAGACCCACAATAGGCAAGTGCCCTGGCCTGCCCTCCCCTCCCACCACCACCAGCACCACCAGCACTGAGGACGACCCTGTCTGTCTTTGCCCTAACCTGCTGCTAAGGCCAGTTGAGGCTGGGATTCTTTTCAAGAAAAGAAAGCCCTGCCTGTGTGTAAGCTCACAGGCCAGGGACAGGAAGGAGACAGTGTTTTGCCCACCCCAACCAGTGTCCTTGTCACTTCTCAGGACCTCCCTCTGCCTCTGTCCTTTAGTTGAGACAGATGGGCTCCTAAAGAGCACAGAGGAGGAAGGGGCCTGGGTTCCAGTACTCACCCCACAGTAACTTACTAGTTGATGGAACAAGTGAGTCATCTTTCTTAGCATCAGTTTAAATCTGTAAAACAAAAGGTTTGACTAGCAGACCTCAAGGGTGTCTTCCCAGGCAAGAGTTCTGGAGTTGTCTGCATTTGTAAAGGGAAACACTGAGCCTCAGCAACTGAGCATAGACCACAGCCTAGTCTTCGTGAATGCAGGGACTGTGTCTACGTGTCGTTTGCCACTCTATTTCCAGTCTAGTGTTTGCTGAATGAGCACATGAATGAATACATAATGCAAGAGGGGAAAAAATACAATACAGATCTAAGGTAGCTGAGTAATTTTTCTTTATAGAACTGGAATGAATCTGGCATCAATCATATCTATTTTGGGATACAAAACAATAACCTATTAAAGAACTTTCTGGCAGCGTGACATATTTAGAATACTAGCCTGGAGTTATCAGAATGAAGCACAGTAGTTCCCTGCTTTTATGCTGAGAGTCCTCCTGGAGAATGCAGCTTTGCTTTCCAACACTGGACTTCTGTATTTTCTAGCTGCCTTGCCAGACTTTCTTCCTGTTCACTGTCAAGTAATTCTGCCAAGTGGGACAGCTAGGTTGGTATATACTGTTGCTTGATTAGGTGAGAAGGGCAAGTTGGGGGATTCAGAAGGCCCAAATAAAAGCTGACGGAAGGAGCAAAGGGGCTTTTGCTAATACAGCTGGAAATGAAGCACTAGGAGACCCTGAAGGGAAGTATTTCCTTTGTAAGGAAGTATGGGGAACGTCTCTCCTCAGTAAGTGTTCATAGAATCAAAAGATGGGTAGGGGTGGGACCAGCGGTTTGGAATCTGACCTGGCTATTGTCTCAGTTTGGGATATGGGAGCCCTTCCACTCTTACAGTTTAGGCCTTAGAGCCTTAGCCCTTGGTTCCGACTTGGAGCCACACCTCCTCTGCACCTGCCCCTACTCTGGATAAAGTGGTCTAGCATCTGACCAGTTCTACTCCAGAAGAGCTGCCTGGTGTCCAGACCCAGGAGTGACATAGGGGAAGGAAGCTGGCTGGGAAGCTCCTTGGACTAGGGAGGATCTGTCAGGGATTGGCTCTTCCTTCCTCGGAGCCTTATTTCATAAGTCCCTGCTGGACTACTTTAAGAATGGAACCAGAAGACTCGAGCACCACAAGCAGCAAGCTCTTGGGTACTGAGTACATGCCATTAGTGGAAGATTTATGTGAATGATTTACTAATTGTTGGTGGCAGGTTCAGCCTCGTTCAAGTCAGAATAACTACTTAGACCATCAGGAAAGTAAGGCTGTAGGGAGGGTGGTATACTGGTAAGGTGGGAGGGAGGAGAGGGCTAAAGGCCCTGACCCCAGTATGACAGTACCTGGGAACGCAGGCACACATCACAGTGACTGCAATAAATTAAAGTTCAAGGTGCTGAACTTCCTTTTAGCAAGTTTCATTGCAGGAAGTTTACTTCTTGGAGGAAGGTATCCAATGCCCTGAATCCTATCTGTTTGAGAACCAGGTTAGTGAAAAGGAAGGGTCTCAATTTCTCCTTCCTTATGACCTTCCTTTAGAAGTGCAGACCAGGGTCTGAATGGGAAATTGGCTTTCTTTAGCTCAGCCTTGGCTCAGAGGAACAAGGATCCTTTGGGGGAGAAGTTGGTTGCTAAAAGGAAATAGGTTAGGGGCAGGGAGATGGTAACTTTAAAGAGCAAGAAGTGACAGGCAGTCGGCTTTTAGGGAGTTCCTAGACATTTTGGGTACGTGTCTGGGGTACCTTAGGCGATTGTCTGGAAAGGTCTTTGTCCCACTAGTAAAAGTCACTGAAGAGTGGTTAGAGAGGGTATTGCAAGAATGAGTGGCACCTTAGGTTTCAGCAAGTCAGCACTCTAGCGTTCCCACTTCATCTTCAATTCCTGCCTCTAGGAGCCAGCCCCCAAATACATGCTTTTTGCTGGGACAGTAGGCTCTTTATGGAAAAAAGGAAAAGAGAGAAGGGGAGAGCATTTGAAATTCCTAGGGATTCTGCCGACTGCAGGGAGTCAGGTCAACGGGGCTCTGCAGAAAGAAAATGCAGCTATGGCAGGGACCCGGCAACAGACAAGGGGGTGGGTGGTCGGCTAGAAAATGGGCGAAAGATAAACGCTATACCTGGGCCCTGCATATCTATGAACATTGTTTCAATTCCTAAGGCTTCATAGGCTGGTTCAGGTGTTAATAAGCCAGCTAGGAAGCGGAGAAGGAATGCCTATCTCATCTAGGCCAAGGAAGAACAATAGCTCGAAATCTTAGAAGAGAGGGTGCCCAGACTTAATGTGGGCTTGGGAACAGAGCTGTAGGAACGCACAGAGGAAAACACTGTAAAGTTGTAAGCTTTTAAGAGATTGCAAAGCAGAGCCTCTCCCTCTAAGGATCCCTGGGCTTGGAAGTGCTGGTTCTCATTCCCTAGGTTCCTATCATATTGAGATCCCTAAAAGAAGCCAAGTACAAATGGGGAAAGAAGGGGGGAGACGAGACCCTTAGGGTTTTCTCCCGGACTTGTGCGCAGCGCCCCCCCGTGGCCGCTCCGTGCGGCTACAAAAGTACTTGGTGACCCGCCGACGGCATTGCTCGCAGCGTACAGCACAGCACCAGTGGAATTTGCAGTTACA